GTGGTCAGATGAGTCACGATTTGAAGTTCTTTATGGAACACTGGGACGCCATGTCATCCGGACCAGAGAGGACAAGGATAGCCCAAGTTGTTATCAACACTCCGTTCAGAAGCCTGCATCACTGATGATATGGGGTTGCATGAGTGCTTGTGGCATGGGCAGCTTGTATGTCTGGAATGGCACCATTAATGCAGAGAACTATGTTCAGGTTCTAGAACAACATATGCTCCCATCTAGACGTCATCTCTTTCAGGGAAGACCCTGCATTTTTCAACACGATAATGCCAGACCACATTCTGCAGCAATCACAACATCATGGCTACACAGGAGAAGGATCCGGGTACTGAAATGGCCAGTGTAGATGAACATATGCTGTATATATATATATTCATAAATTAAACGGATTCTTTCATTTTTCTGGACTGAATAATAACGTGCATTGAATTTAATAAAATGTGGACGGAAACGTGTTTATCTTTGACCCATCAAAATGAACGTGGTCATTTATTTACAGAATTAAAATTTAACATCACACATTTACACTACACCAGCATGCAGTCCAGATCTTTCACCTATAGAGAACATTTGGTGCATCATAAAGAGGAAGGTGTGACAAAGAAGGCCCAAGACGATTGAACAGTTAGAGGCCTGTATTAGACATGAATGGGAGAGCATTCCTATTTCTAAACTTGAGAAACTGGTCTCCTCTGTCCCCAGACGTCTGTCGAGTGTTGTTAGAAGAAGGGGGGATGCCACACAATGGTAAAAATGGACTTGTCCCAACTTTTTTAGGATTTGTTGACGCCATGAAATTTGGAAACAACTAATTTTTCCCTTAAAATTATACATTCTCTCAGTTTAAACTTTTGATCTGTGATTTGTGTTCTATTCTGAATAAAAATATTAGATGTTGGCACCTCCACATCATTGCATTCGGTTTTTATTCACAATTTGTTTAGTGTCCCAACTTTTTTGGAATCCGGTTTGTATTTCAAATCTCATGTCATCATTTGCACACACACATCCCCCACAAGGAGTCACTTCTGAATCTTCTCCCCCATGAGCCCTGTGGTTTGTTGTCCCAGGTCGCCGCCTGTTGGCGATCTCTGGGAAACGCTGAACCACTGGTTGCCGGGATGAGAAGGGCTGTTCTCTGACGGGCGGGGCTGGCGGCAGAGCGGAGCACGCTGCTGCAGCTGTGGAACGTCTCTATTGCTGCCTTTGGCCACGATGATCCTTCCAGCGGGCCGGAGGGTGGGATGATGTGTGCGGCTTGGTCAGATGGCGCACAGTCTCCAACACCTCCTCCGGCTTTTTCGATTTCTCGAGCAAGTCCTTGAAAATTGGCTCTGAACAGCACGTCCGCTTCTCCCGACAGGGAGGTGGGAACAGCAGACGAGGCACACGGGTTGAGGGTGACGTCAGACGCCCTGCAGGGGGAGCTCTTGTCTCCTCAGGCAGGTCTGTCCCTCCAGACTCTGAGATGCTGTACGTCAGCGGCGCAACGTATTGTTTGCTGCGGCCACCTTGAACGCACACTGGTGAGCTCGGTTGGAGAGCGACGTCACCGTCTGGTCATGCCTCCGGCACAGGATGCTGGTCCAACCTGGACATCTTTGCTCCGAGAGCCTCCGCCAAGCTTGGCTCCAGGGGGGGCACCGAGGGAATTTCCGCTCAGTAAAACCCCTCCACTCTGGTGATGGGCGCGGATGTGGAAACCGGCGCTCTCAGTCTACCAGGTCCGGGTGCAGCCTCGTTCCAGTAGGACGTCACTGCTGGGAAACGAGGCCAGATGGGATCAGGACGGCGAGCTGGGGTGGAGCCAAAAAACCAGTGAGCATCCGCTCAGCCCCCCTCGTTCCGACACTACGCTCTCCAGGAGGGAGTGAGCAGCAGGGGCTGCTGCTGATGCCGCCTGTCCTGGAGGAACCATCCGATTCGCTCCGAGTCGGCAATAAAAGGAAAAAAGGGTCCATGGCATCGTCGTCCAGCGACCCGCCACTGAGAAATATTCCTCGGCGCATACCTTGAAACAAGGCTGCTCGTCTGCTTCTCCTCAGGGAGGAGAACTCACCGGGACGGCAGGAGGTTGGCGTGGCGAGATCACAGGCAGCCTTAACAATGGTTGTGCTGGTCAAGCTGGACAACTTCCCTTCTTCATTCTTCTGACAAGTGCTATTAGCTTGCTGAAGAAAAATGGGAGCCGATTACCTGCTCTTAACGTAATTTATACGGACCGGGTGGGGCCCACACAACAGGTGGGCGTGGACTAAACTTTTCAGTGCGATGCTTTGCATGACGGGATAAAACCCACCAGCGACAGCTCTTAAAGGGCGAAGCCTATACGAAATAGAACTGAGTATTTTTCTGACCATCAAGTGGAGCTACACTGAGACTGATGCGTGTGCTCGTATCAAACTGATCAAACAATTTATCACACTCAACTCTGCCTGTCCGCTCGCTCAGGGTGACGCAGCGTATGGCAGGCTGATATATCAAATAATCATATCACACGTATCTTAAGATTTTACACTATTATTTTTCTCCTGGTCACAATACCAACCCTACTAATCACATTTGAAATGTTAACTATCTGCAGTCACATTTTTCCAAGCAGATATTAAATTTAAACCCTGTGGGGTTCACTCTGTGTTAAAAATAAAAAAGTCTGTAAAACTATCTGGTGGTTGATTCTTGATCTACAACAAGAGCTGCACATCTCTCAGTAGCTGTGCTGACACTCATGTTACAACATGAACACCTGCAGCTCATATGTGTACAAAATTGTTTTTTTTTTTTTGTTGTTGTTGTTTTGTTCTGGGTTTTTTATGTGTACGGCTTATATTCAGGTGTGCTCTATAGTCCGGCAATTATGGTACTGTAACAACTGGATTATCTCGCATTCTAATATCCATTTGTAAACGTGATTGCAAATGTCTAAATTCAGATCTGACTAATAAAGTTATTTTGACCTAGAGAAAATTGAAATTTAAAAGAGTAACTACAAATAAAAGTACAATTGGATTATATAATACAACAGCCTACCATGCCTGTGCCACTTTGTGCAGCAGAGTTAGGATCATACCTGTCACATGACTCTTTGCTTAGACCGTTAGTGGTTTAACTTGGTGGCAGAAAATACAAAACTTCAGTATCTGGAACGGAGTTTGTTACCTCCACTCCTGAGCAGGATGTCAAATAGATCATCCATCTGCTGGTTGTTCACACCGTTTTCCTGAAAACACACAGGAAATCAGCACTTACACAAGAAAAACAGGAGCAGTAACACAGTCTGACTTTCAGACTGGAGTAAACGTGTCGGAGAACCTGCGTGAGTTCAGAACACAATCGCAGACTTCATAAAACATGTTAAAATAATAATATTTGCTTTTCCACACCATGCTCCTGTATTTGACACAACAACGTTTAAAAACAGGGCGAGGAGTCAAACTGTGGCTGCTGCTTCAGTCATGAACGAGCCATGACCACAGACTGGCACCAACAGTTGGGGTCAGCGGGCAAGGTGCTGATTGTCTGACAGTTCATGAAGCATTCACGCTATTATCATCCATTGTTCTTCTGTACGTTTTTCTGCATCGTTCTCGTTCCACAGTTTTTGTACCATTTCAACAAATCATAAATCAAAACGTTAAGCTCTTTCAGGACAATCCTGCTGTGACTTTTGGTACTGATGCAGCTTTGGCTTTTTGAAATATTTAGCCTTTTCTGACATTTTTTCCTGATAGAAAATGAACTGAGCTCATTTTACATCCTTCATATCTTCAGATCTGTTTGCAACCTTTTACTGCTCCTTTCGCATTCTGTTCTGCTTCAGCTTCTTTCGGCAAATTTAAACTTTTTTCAGCCAATTTCAGCTGTTTTATCACCTGTTTTGTGCTCCCTTCAGCTCCTTTCTACTAACTACAACACTTTTGACCTTCTAACTTCTTTCTGTTAATTTCAGCTTGTTCAAATTCAATTCAAAAATACTTTATTAATCCCAAAGGGAAATTATTTGTTGCTGTAACTCGTTATCCTAATTTCATTAAGAGATGAGGCTTTAGGCAGGAAGGATCTCTTGTAAAGGTCCATCCCACGGTGGATCCTATGAAACTGGTTGTAGATGCCGTCCGATCCGTACACCCAGACTTATGCTATGCTCCTTTCAGATTTCTGCAAGTTTCAGTGTTTCCTACTATTTTAGCTACTATATAGCTGTTTTACTTTAAGCTTTTTTCAGCTAATTCCAAATTTTTTGCACTCATTTAAACTTTTTTCAGCCTAATTCAACAGAAATGTGCTCTCTCCACTTCATTCTTGTAATTTCAGCTTCTTTCTGCTTTTTTAGCTACTTTTCAGCTGATGTTTTTGTGTGTGCCAATTTCAGCTTTATTAAAGGTGACTTCACCGTCATTTGCATCACGTGGTACATGAGGTGGAATGAAACCGTGCTCTCAAGAACCCAGCCACACCCAAAAACAGAAAAAGTACAAAACAACACAAGGATCTGAGATTTACAGCAAACAACAACAATGTAACATTATACGATGTATTGTTGTTGCTTGGCATCTGTCTGCATCTGAGCTTAATTTAGAGCTTCATGGCAAATACTGTGAATACTTCAGTAAATGGGATTTCTTACAATTGTATAAACTTGCAAAAATCTCTAAAAACCTGTTTTCAAATTGTCAAAATGAGGTATTGTGTGTAGAATTTTGAGGAAAGATTATTTTAATACAATTTGGAATAAGGCTGAAACAACAAAATGTGGAAAAAGTGAAACAATGAATACTTTCTGAATGTGCTGTACTTCTCTGCAACTCCAGATTTCCTCATGCAATACCACACCTCCTCCCTCGGCACCCTGTCAGATGCTTTTTATAAATCCACAAAGACACAGTTCTTTCTGACCCTCTCTACTTCTTCATCAGCATTCTCTAAGCAGAAATGGCATATTTTGTGGACTTTCTGCTGTTCACAGATAGTCACCTCTCATCTAAGTCTTGCTTCCTCAACTCTCTCTCAGATCTTCATTGTGCGACTCATCAACTTAATTCCCCTGTAGTTGCTACAACTCTGTACATCACCCTTGTTCTTAAAAATGGGCACCAACACACTTCTCCTCCATTCCTCAGGCATTTTCTCTAGGGGTGCACCAATTGCAGTTTTCTGGTCGATCATCGATTTCTAAAAAGTCTGACCTGCCGATTCCGATTTTGTTTGATAAGCGACACTGTCAGGTGTTATAAGGTCACAATGCACCTTCAATTTTCCAGTCTTATTTTATTGACAAACATACCCTTGAACAATATCCTAAAACAATACAAACTTGTTTTAACTGGCCATGAGGTAGTGCTCTGAAATACAAAGGAAGTTCAGACAACTGTTGTTGAAACTAAAAAAATTGGTAAAATCAGTTTCTCTTGCACGTATCGGCCAATTTTCCAAAATTAAGGAAATCAGTTCACCCCTAATTTTCTCACCCTCAAATATTCCATTGAATATTTATATTATATATAATATATTATATATTCCATTGAATATTTGAGTCAAAAACCTCACTGCCATCTCTCCAAGACATTTCCAAATCTCCACTGTATGTCATCAAGTCCTACTGCCTTCCCCTTCTTCATTCTTTTCAGAAATTTTTGAACTTCACCCTCACTAATCTTTCTCACTTCCTGGTCCACGGTTTCTATGACCTCTACTCTTAGTTCTCTTTCATTCTCTTCATTAGCTCTTCATAGTACTCCTTCCATCTTACCATCACACTCTCTTCACTTGTTAGAACATTACCATTCCTATCTTTAACAAGCCTTACCTGCTGCACATCCTTTCCAACCTGATCCCTCTGTCTCGCCAATTAGTATAAGTCCTTCTCTCCCTCTTTAGTATCCAGCCTCTCATACAACTCATCGTACTCTTTCTGTTTGCCTTAGCTACCACCCTCTTTGCTCTACGATGCATCTCCTTAACTTATCTGTTTTCAAACATGCTAGGATTAAAATTGACCTTGAAAGTGCAATAGTAGGTTGTAATTTGATAATTGTTGGTTTTACAGTGTGCCTGCTAAATAAAACTTTTTGGTACCAAAATAAAATGTCCCAACGTGGAGGACAGACTGGGGTCATGTAATGTGAGGCTGCTGCAACACATTTACTTCTCATTTTCTCATGACACTTGACTGACCACCAAGTTACTTTCTTCTTCCTGCAGACATTTCACATGTAAGTGCAGCACATTTCCAAAAACCACCAGAGCCATTGTGGGAACCAGCTGATGATTTAAGCAGAAGTAAACAAAGATCAGCAGATATGGAGCAGCTCTAACAGAAACTTCAGCAGGGCTGAATAAAGCTCTGAACCGGGTCAGTGAAACCTCATCTCCACACACGCACGCACGCACGCACGCACGCACACACACACACACACACAGTGGAATTGAAAAATGATCAATATTGCAAGAAAGATGGGAAGAAGAAGAAGAGAGATACTGGCAGACATACTTTGGAGCGCTGAGGAGGGAAGGAAATGTTGGGTTTAGGAGAGGGAGGGGTGAAGAGTGTGTGCCGGTCGTAAGGAGGACACACTTCCTCTCTCTGCAAAGTGGGTGGGGTGATGAAGAGATGAGAGAGGAGAAGAAACAAGGAGAAAAGATAAGAACATGTGCAGAGGGAGACTGGTGGATGGGAGGAGGAAGAAGGAGCTTTAACCTTGAGAGATGACATCAGGATGGTTTGACTGTCAGTGTCTGACATGTCGTCAAAGAAAGGCTGCAGGTTAGGTGGAGCGGTGTGGGACAGACTTGGTACTGGGACGCCACTGGTGTCCAGCTGCAGCTCAGCCTTCTGTCCCTGAGGACAAAATAATGAACGCAACTTAAGAAATATGAGCGTAACAGTGTGAATGCTGAGTCAGCATTTACACGACTGTTTTCCTGTTCAGAGCTTCTTCTGTATGTTTTTACTATTTTAATACGTAGTCGTTCATTTATCCAACGTTTAGCTTAATTAGACATAACGTGCTGTGACTTTTATAGATTTTATACTTTTCACAATATTATAAACATTTTCCTCATAGAAATGCATTGAGATCTCTTAAAATCCTGTAAATCAGGGGTGCTCAATACGTACACCCCACGGCGAAATAGACAGACTTTTTAAAATAAATTTCTTTTAATTCTTATTTGTTAAATAGACGTCAGCCGATCAAGCAATCGTCACTATGCAATTTGACACTTGACTGACACAAAGGGCAGCCAATCAAGAGACCGGATCTTGTCCTGACACATAGGTCACTATGCATGCACAAATAACCGTGCTAAAAACAAACACGTTGACTCGTAACAGTTTATTTCTTCTAATCTAAACTCAAGAAAGTATGTAAAATGAGTTGGGGAGCTGGACCAAGTAAGAAGCAAAAACCATACAATTTCCATACAAAATTGGGGGGGGGGGGGGGGGGTCTTCACAATGTCATATTTGAAGGGTATTTCACTGGAGCAACATTTTGGACTATTCATAAAAACTACAGCAGTGACTTCCTTCTGAAAACTGAGCTGAGAAAGAAAGCGGTGAAAGAAGTAAAATCCAAGTTCTCTGAGCAGCAGCAAAGCATCATTCTGGGTAAGTCACTTTAATTATTGTTAAGCACTAGGGATGGGGCAGATCCGATCCAGTATCGGTATCAGCCTCCGATACCAGCATAATTTACGTATCGGATTTTCCGATCCTCCTGACGATATTTCCAATCCATGATGCAAGTTGGCATCAAACTATGGAATGGATTTCCTGAACGGCGGCGTGTCTCATGAACCTAGAGTAATAAGACCCGCCTCACATTCAGGAAATCCAGTTCATAGTTTGCAGCCAGCTACAACGTGAGGACAGAGTTAGCACTGTGGCTAACTGCTAACAAACTTTTAATCTAAACATGTCCGCTGTGTGGAAGTATTTTACACCAAAAACACCACAAGACAGCATCGTGCAATGTCTGCAGCCATAGCGCCACATTAAACCACGTTAAAGTTAGTTTTACGATGGACATTCAAGCTCCATGGCTTCAGCGGGGCAGTACTCTTTGGTCAAACCGAAAGAGGCGACTCGACACCGGCCAGCCGCGTCCAATCTGCCCCGCTCAGTTTGCCCGTCTCCGAGGAGGGACAGACTGAGCGCGGCTGCCCCAAATCAGGCTGCCTGCTTCGGATTGAACAAGAAGTAGACGTCGCTGAAACCACGGAGCTCAAATGTTTACAGAGAAGTTGCTAAACTTCATCATAAGACCAACCACTATCAGTTGTAGAAAACGAAGGATTTCTCAGCTTGATACTTGCAGCCAAGATATAGTTTACCCTCCAGGAGATATTTATCAGTGCAACAGTAGACAATCATAAAAAAACATGATTTGAAAATTATATTAAAAACAAAAACAGCTACGTTATAAAGTGATGTAAAATACTAAAAACAGGAACATGCCTGTTGGTTTATGTTATGAACTTAGCAGATGTTTGAAGCCATTTAACATTTAATTTAATTTATTTATTCATTCATTTAAATTAAACAAAATTAAAAAAAAATCATCAAAAAGAAAACATTGAATGAAAAGAGTGCAGAAAGAAGAAAAAATTATTATATCTGCCCCTTATAAAATATAAAACAACTTTAAACAACCACTTAAATTAATCACTTTAATATCCACTTTAAAGCTAGGAATAAAAAGAAACATGTTTTGTGTTAGCAAAATTTAATTCTAACTATAAAACTTATCCAACATTAATAAAACTTACCTCAAGTTGCCTTTTTGGACATGCATGCATATATTTGTACACATTGTACTTGAGGAGATTATTACAGCCTCATATAAAATCAATGATGATGATGATATCGGAACTGGATCGGTATCGGCCGATACCCAGGTCTAGGTATCGGGATCGGAATTTTAAAAAGTGGATCGGTGCATCCCTATTAAGCACAAGAAGTCTTTTCAAGACGGAGAGATTAAAAGAGTTATTTGTTAAAACAGCTGCCTCGTTGTTCAGAGACTTTAAAAGCAAATCAGAAATGTTATCTTCATCAGAGCTCTCATGTATCAATAAATACAGTTACAGTTGAAGCAGCTGCTGTCAGGACTGAGTTTTCACTTCTCTGGTTTATTTCAAACATGAAGTTATGCTTGTTGTTTTCTGTTCCTTTGTGTGAAGAACACAAGTATTTATGTTTTGTTTATTATTTTGCATGCGGACAGTAAAAATAAATTGTCACTTCGGGGGGGGGGGGGGGGGGGTCGTCATTATTTATCAGTATGTTGCGTCCACAGCGAGCTGGGACTTATTCATTCACTCAACTTTCATTTATCCAAGTTAGTCTCATAACTTGTATAAATAAAGGTTGAATGAATTGAGTCACGAGGACTCCTATACAAGACAGACCTGTTTTAGACAGACAACATAAAGTACAGACAATAAACTACAGTAAAATGCAAAAAGCATACTTAATATGTTTATAAGTATATGTTTTATATTTTTTAGCAGGTAGATCACTTGGATTTGGTCATTTTAAAAGTAGCTCACATGTTGAAAAAGTGTGGTACTCCCTGCTATAAATTATCGTAGTGAAATCTGTTGAAGCGTCACTCTTTTAGTCACTGTTTTGATCATTTTATTTGTTAGGTTTGGTTTTCCTAATTTTAACTAACACGAAGCATTCTGCTCGTGTTGCCTTGTGATTAAAGACCTGTGCTCTCTGATCAGTTGAACTTGTGTTAGCAGACGGTTTCAGCTCAGCGTTTGTATTTCTTTACCTTCCTCTCTGGTTGGCTCAAAGGCTCGGCCTCTGGCTGCTCTTTGGACTTGTCCTCGGTGCTCGGGAGTTTACTTGGAGTGGACAGTAATCTCTGAAACAGAGCAACAATCAGACCATTTACACACACACACTGATATGATCACAGTGCTGCTCTTCACACAGCGCTCTCTGTACCTGCAGTGTGATGCGTCCGTTGAGTTTAGAGAATGAGGTCACTCCATTGGGTCTATCTGCAGCGTGACTGGTCAGAGCAATCAAGTAGTGGTTGCCGTTGTTGTCTGTGACCAGTGTGGGGGTGCCGTTTGCCTTGAGGTCTAATGAAATGGCCCGAGTGTGAAGTGAAGTGCTGTTGTGTTGGTCGATGGTGACTGGAGTCACCTGGAAACACACACATCATAGTTATTTAGTTTTCTAGTACTCGTGTTGTCAGAGCAGCATGGCTCAGGTATCTAAAAGGAGTCACCAGTTGAAAGGAGCCTGCTGCAGTCTGTTTCTGCTGCTGCCTCTGCTGAGTCCTCTGCTGCTTCCTCTGCTGGCTGTGGCTGAGTGTGGACCTCTGGTTCTGAGCCTGCTTCGGCTGAACCTGGTTCTTCTGCTGAGCTTGAGCCTCCTGCTGGCTTAGTTTCAGCTGGTTTAGCTGCAGCCGCTTGTGCTGTGAGAGTTTCTGCTGGGTTTGCTGGATGATGAGCTGCTGCAGCTGCTGCTGCTGCTGGAGGAGGATCTGGGCCTCCTTTTTCTGGTCTTGTTGTCGTCGTGGGGAGCCGACTTTAGCCTCGGGGCTTCTCTGCAGCTGCACCGGACTCTGCTGCTGCTGTTTCTGGTGCTCGGCTTGCAGCTGTAGCCGGTGGATCTGCTGCAGCCTCAGCAGAGTCTCCTGAGAGCACTGCATTGGCTGGCTGGGCGTCTTCCCTCCAGTCTCCTTTGTTACTTCCTCCATCTCTTTCTTGGGCTCCACTTCCTCCTTCACCGTCAGCACCATGCCATTAGTGAGCATGGGGGGCTGAATGTCTGAAGCTTTTATCAGAGGCTGGAGTTTAACCTCAGGCGATGGTCTGCTTGGCTCTTTTCCTTCCTTCTTCACTACTACACCTGCAGCCACCTTGCCTTGCTCCAGCTGAGACCTCAGGGTCTCCACCAGCTGCTGCTTCTGCCTCAGCATCCTGGTCAACTCTTCAATTTGTTTGTCCTTCTCCTGGAGCATCTGGTCTTTGTCCATGGATGACGTGTCCATGGCGTCTCCAGACAGGGATTCTTTGGACTGCAAAGATCCAGATGTAGACCTAGACAGGCTGCAGGAGCTCTGGATCTCTTCTTTAACTACAGAGAAGGGCTGAGAGAGCGAAGCCAGGTGTGATGGGTGCTGAGGAGAGGGATGAAGGGTCAGCTGGGTGAGGGGAGAACTCACCTGAACGATAAAATGAGAGAAATGTTAACTGGAAACAAACAGAAACAGCTGTTTATCCCACAACAACAAACAAACTCTCACCATCTCCCCAAACATGTCTCCGTTACAACTCGCCTCGTCTGGACTCAGCCCGGCCAATGACCGCTCGGATGGAGTGGGTGACACAGGAGGACTGGAGCTGGTGCTGCCAAATCTCATGACCCGTCCTGGAACCGCCCGAGCTAATGAGGACAGAGCTAACTTGAGCCCACCGTCTGTCGACAGCTGTTCAGATGTGAAAGAGGCGTTTGGAGACAGTGTGTTGAGGCTGGCAGCTGAAGTGGAGCCCTGCTGGCTGGACTGGGACAGTCCCATCTTCAGAACTGAGCTGCCACCGTTTTGTTCCTGGTAGTTCCGGAGCCTATCGAGGAGATCATTCTTAGTGCCGGAGACTGTCAACCCTCGCAGTTTCAGCTCTTGTTTCAGCTCAGCAACCTGCAGATGAAACAACGCAGATCTTATACAACCAACGTGTAAATTAAAACAAGTTGCTCAGATTAACGGAGTTTCCTTTACTTTGTTCTGTTATTTTATCTTTTAGCTAAACTCATGATTATCTAACGGTATTACCTTCCTTTTTTACTATATTTATCTTTTCTTTTGCTACCTTTAGCTAGCATTTTGTTTCTTGTACTTTTAATTTGGATCAGAATCAGAATAAGCTTCATTATCATTGTACTGGGATACAGTGAGATTATGTTCATACAGTCGTCCGAAAGATGGGCGGAGTGCACGTGGCTGCTGCTACAACAGTGCAGCCCCTTATTCTTTATCAGAATACTTTTAGATAGAAAAAGGAGCCACGAGGATGGATAGTACAAAAAAGATCTCTTCAAATCGTCTATTCAGGACACGATTTGAGACATCAAAAACTCTACCAGCAAACACATTTATAGACACATTACATGCATTTGACATCAAGACGTTGAGATTTGTCCATGAAACATTTTCAGATAGGCCATAGTCCTGATGATGATGATGTTCAGCCAGCAGTTCTGATAAGCCTGCAAAGAAGTTCGCGGGAGTTTGTGATAGACAAAGCCTTTTCCTTAGTTTACCCATGTCCCAGGAGAAATTTGATAGTCAACCTGCATCCGAGGCCAAACTGGGGAGTCGGATTCAGATAAGTCACAATTCTTCAGGCAGACTGTTTTTTCTCGTCAGCCTTGAGTCCTGCTGGTACTTTCCAGATCCAAAATGGCCAGATTTATGGGCATTCCAATGCTATGAGCCTTCTTCAAGGTCAACCCCAACATGCTGGCGAGTTTTAGGAGCCACAGGTGGCCTGCGATTCTCACAAATCACTTCCATCTTACGGTTTAACTCGTAAATCAGCTGATTTTGAGTACTCGTAGCATGAACCAAACCTTCATACTGACTCGGAAGCTTTGTCATGGCTGAAGCTGCTGCCAATGTCTTCTTCAAAAGTTGATAAAACAGGCCCCGCCAATGCCACATAGCAGAAACTCTGCTATCATGAATCCAATTATATAAACGTCTTTGGCGTCCTTCTGAGATAGAACTGAGAGACACACCAGCTCCCACACCCTCCACGGATCCATGACGTATCCTTCAGCATGAGTCTCGGCAGGACATGAGGGCTCTCCAGGACCCTGTCGTTTTGTTGAAAATATTTTATCAACTGCGTTGAAAGTCCAGCTCACCAGATCCATAATAGTATTTTTTCATTTGGAAGATGTGTACCAGGAGCTCCGAGACACACACAGAGAGCAAAACTAGGAGGAAGAGGAGAACAGGGGAGGAAGAGGAGAACAGGGAAGGGAGAGAATAATGTGTCCGCCTTGAGCGAGAGCAGAAATAGTTTAATTGGTTTTATTAGTTTACTTTTAATTATTCTTGTAGCTTTTAATTAGTCTAGGACTTTTATAGCTTTCGGCTAGTGTTCTGGTTGTTTTAGCTTTCAACTTTTCTTCTGCCTTTTTCCCAAGACTCAGTTTAAGTTTCTTCAGCAAAGTCGTCGACACCAAAATTTCACACTGCATTTTTGCAGAAAATGCATTTTCTCTAGATTTTAATTTTGAACAGTTTGTAGAGCTGCCACCTCTTAGCATGAAGGTTGCTGGATCGAATCCCAGCTGGGGAACTTTCTTGGTAGAGTTTGCATGTTCTCTCTGTGCTGCCTGAGTTTTCTGCTGGTACTCCGTTTCCTCCCACAGACTAAAAACATGCATGTTAGGCTGACTGGTAACTTTAAATTGTCCCTAGGAGAGAGTGAATGGTTGTTCGTCTCGTTTGTCTCCATGTGTCCCTGTGATGGGACTGGAGACCTGTCCAGGGTGTCCCGCACCTCTCACATAGTGACTGAGGGATATGGTGGATACCAGTGACCCCCACAACCCGAAAAGGAAGAAACGGGTAAAGAGGACCTGAGGATGGATGGATAGAAGCTAAACAGGTTGTGTGAAACAAACATCGTCTGTTGACATTACTTTGAACTCGTCCAGATTGGCCGGCAGAGTTGCTGGTTTGGCTCCGCTCACTGCAGACTGGTTCTGACGAGCAGTGGAGCTCTGACCAGAGGGGAGTGTGGTGGTTGTGGTGTGAGCACTGCGAGAGGGGGAGGGGCCCGAGCTGGTGGTGGGAGTCTTCTCAGTTTGTGGCCTGAGTAGATGCAGAAAAATGAACAGATTTGTTAAGATAGTTAGAACACATACTCCTTTTATTGTGCATAAACATGGGAAGAAATGCTCAACTCAGTATAGGTATAAAAAATAAATTTCTGTGCCAACATCTAATATTTTATTTAGAATAGAACACAAATCACAGATCAAAAGTTTAAACTGAGAGAATGTATAATTTTAAGGGAAAAATATGTTGTTTCCAAATTTCATGGCGTCAACAAATCCTAAAAAAGTTGGGACAAGTCCCTTTTTACCACTGTGTGGCATCCCCCCATCTTCTTAAAACACTCAACAGACGTCTGGGGACAAAGGAGACCAGTTTCTCAAGTTTAGAAATAGGAATGCTCTCCCATTCATGTCTAATACAGGCCTCTAACTGTTCAATCGTATTGGGCCTTCTTTGTCGCACCTTCCTCTTTATGATGCGCCAAATGTTCTCTATAGGTGAAAGATCTGGACTGCAGGCTGGCCATTTCAGTACCCGGATCCTTCTCCTACATAGCCATGATGTTGTGATTGCTGCAGAATGTGGTCTGGCATTATCATGTTGAAAAATGCAGGGTCTTCCCTGAAAGAGATGACGTCTAGATGGGAGCATATGTTGTTCTAGAACCTGAACATAGCTCTCTGCATTAATGGTGCCTTTCCAGACATGCAAGCTGCCCATGCCACAAACGCTCATGCAACCCCATACCATCAGTGATGCAGGCTTCTGAACGGAGCGTTGATAACAACTTGGGCCATCCTTGTCCTCTCTGATCCGAATGACATGGTGTCCCAGTGTTCCATAAAGAACTTCAAATCGTGACTCATCTGACCAC